TCTTCTCTGCCTCCTGAAGCCCCTCTGGTCTGGTATAGGAAAGGGTGGTATAGGTCACAGCATGAGTGTCCTCGTGCTGCCACCTGGGTGGCTTGAGGAGTAGGAACGTACCATCTCGCAGTTCTGGAGACGAAGGTGTTGGCAGGGTTGGTTCCTTCCGAGGGCCATGAGGGAGAGGCCGTTCCAGGCCCTGGCCTCTGGCACTTGGCTGGCACTCTCTGGCAACCCTCGCCCCAATCTCTGCCTTCATCTTCCCATGGCGTTCTCCTTGTGCGTGTCAGTGTCCCAGTTTCCTTTCCATAAGGTCACCAGTGTCGTGTCGGATTAGGGTCCCGCCCTGTTCATCTTTACTAATGACATCCACAGGGCTTCAGATTCCAAATACGGTCACGCTGATAACTTCCACGTGTGGTCTTGAGGGTTCCAGTCCGTTCTGTTACACAGTCACCGGCTCCCTTTTCCTGCCAACAATTGGGTGCTCAGCTTGCTTAGCAAGAGGCTCTACCTGTTGAAAGCTAAGCTGTTTCTGGAAGCAGGGTCATTGGCAGCAGGATGTGGTATCTGCTCATGAGCACATCTGGGGGGGGCGGGATTACTACCTTCATGTGAAGCAACCCTGAGGAACCTTATTTCCAACTTTCTCCGGTCAGTCCTTCACCTTGTGGTTAGGTTACAGGCAGACCATCTCTGCAGTGTCCCCGTATCATTCTTCTCTCCATTCCCCCCCTTTCTCAACTCATCCGAGATCATCAGAGTGCAGGGCCCAGGCCCTGACTCAGAGGCAGGCTGGCCTAGTGGTCGCGTGCTCCAGACTGGCGTCAGACCAGCTGCAGGGGCCGTCGATCTCGGCCCCACCCCTGACCTGCGGTAAGAGCGGAGCACACTTCATAACCTCTCTGCACCTTGGTTCCCTGTCTGTACAATGGATGGGAAGAGGGCCTTCGGGAGCTGTGAGGATTAAAGGAGTCATGCAAGTTCAGCGGGTTGGTACGTGGTAAGCCTTCCATGATGTTAGCTCCTGCTATTGATTCGGCTCCCAAGGTCTGTGATGCCCCTTCCCCGATTTATTTCAGTCCGGTCTGATGCCAGGTGCAGGTTCTAAAACATGCCTTGGTTCTCTCCACCTTCATTTGGAGAGCCTCCACCAGTCCCTCATTACCTACCAATCTGATATTTTGTCATCAAGGCTCTTCATGTGGCCAGTGTGACCCAGCTCCCTAACTGGCCTAGCTGAGCTCATCCCCCATGATCCTCTGCCTGTAGCCTTCTTTCCAGCTGAAACTTTCTACCTTTCTTTTCCCGGACAGCCTCCTGCTTTCCTGCCTCTTAATCTGTTACCTTTGCCCAGACTCATGTCAACAATCACCTCATCTACAAGCATTTCCTATTCTGTCCTTTGAGCCCTATTACACTCTATAATATTTCTTTTATGGGAATCGGCATGCTCTACTTTTTTTTTTCGTTCCATTTAAATTGTCCTTTTGTGCCTTTAAGAGCCAGCCCTATACTCAGGACGGCCCTCCTACACCATGAGGGAGGTTGGAACAGAGCACAGGGGAGCAGAGAGCATACAGGCCGGGACAAGTGGCACTCTCTCTGTTGCACAGCAGTGTCTTGAGTGTGGAAACTGGGTCTTCACTCTAACCCCCAGGTGGCACCCAGGACGGGGTGAGGAACGCAGGCGGGTTCAGCCAGCGTCTGCTGAGCCATTCTCATCCATCCCTCCATGTTGGCTTGATAACGTGAACTTGAATATGTCGTGGGTCCCTTCATGGACGGAGTCCAACTAGAAAGTAGGTCAGAGCCAAATCCTGATGGGCCGGCCATCTGACCACTTAATGCCAGTTTGAGTGGATGGAGGCAGCAGACTTTCAGGTTGGCATTATAATGAATCAAGTGGTGAAATAGGATTGCCCAAAGTTACACAGCGAGTTAGCGCCCTTGCCCAGAATAGAACAGGTTACTGTTCTTAAGCACTGAGCTAACCTTTCTTCCCACCCACTACAGAACGACGTGCTATAAAAACAAGCTTCTCCCATACATTTGTGCCTTTCAATCTGAATAGCTTATTCTCAAAATCTAGCTAAGGATCCATGTTACTATTCAAATACACTGGTGGGCAGCTGACGCTGGGGAGGCTCAGGTACACACCGGGGTTGTTTTGGGTTCAGTTGCAGGTGGTGGAGGGCAGCGTATAAGCAGTGGCATAGAGGCTTGACTAATGGTCATAGGGGTGTGACCTTTTGAGATTGGGTATGACTATCAATAAGGGCTCTCCAAGGAACAGAAGCAGTAAAATACGAATAATATATACTATACCAATATAACTTGAAGCTATGATACACACACACACACACACACACATACATACGATTGATTTCAAGGCAGTGGCTGCCACGGTTGTAGAGGCTGGCAAGTCCAAACTCTAGGGTAATTGGAATTCAGCAGGCTTGAGGCAGGATTTCCTCTTCCTCAGGGAAACCTCCCTCCGTTTTGCTCTGAAGGCCTGTCAACTGCTTGGGTGAGGCTCTCAGATTATCGAAGATGATCTCTTTAAAGCAGTGGTTCTCAACCTTCCTAATGCCGCGACCCTTTAATACAGTTCCTCATGTTGTGGTGACCCCCAATTTCACTGTTACAAACTGAACATAATTAAAGCATAGTGATTAATCACAAAAACAACATGTAATTATATATGTGTTTTCCAAAGGTCTTAGGCAACCCCTGTGAAAGGGTCATTCCACCCCGCTAAGGGGTCGCGACCCACAGGTTGAGAACCGCTGCTTTAAAGTCACCTGATTGATTATAGCTATCAGCCACATCTACCAAATACCTTCAACACCTCGGTTGGTGTTTGATTAAGCAACTGTGTACTACAATACAGCCTACACCACGTTAACACGCACAACTAATGGGCACACCCTCCCCGCTCCATTCTACCTGGGCAGCCTTTGTGAGAGTGACCTCTTTCTGGAAGAGCTCTGGTGGGAATTAAATAGCACGGTGCGTTCGTATAGTTCGTGGCACGTTATAGTTCAACAGACGCTTTGCTCTTATTGCCCCAAAGCTGGGGGTTGAATCTCCAGGAAACTCCTGTCCTGCTGGGTCATTCTGGAACTTGCTTTGGTTCCAGACAGGAACCCTTCTGCCCCCAGGGTGGGAAATCTTTTGGGAAACGATTGACCAGAATGGGGATGTTCCAAGTGGAGATGGTCAGTCTGAAGAGGGAACAAGATCGCCAGCTCAAATATTTGAAGAGCTGTGATGGGAAGGAGGCCCCTGGCTCTGGAGGAGGCAGAGCCCTTCTATAAATATTTCAGTATACGTTCCTGAAATATAAGGACTCTCGTAAGTATAACCACAATGCCATTAGTACACCTAAGAAAAATCAATAATTCTTGGTATCATTAAATATGCAAACCATTTTTAGATTCCCCAGTTATATCATGAGCAGTTTTCCACAGGTGGTTTGTTGGACTCACGATCCAAACGGGATTCATACCTTGCGCTGTGGCCAGCTGTTCTGCATGATAATGTGATCAGGCAGCAGCTTCATTTATTCGCATGGAGTCAGCTCTTCCCACCACTGCCGGTCTCCTGTGTGTGACACGGTGTGAAGCAGGTGGGAGCCGTGTGAGTAGTGGTGGTTCCGGCGGGAAGCAGCATTCACCCTAGATGGCTCCCTGAAGGGACCTCATGAATGACTTCTTGCAGGAGCAGGCAGGGGTGGGGGTACCCAGAGACTACCAGCAGGCAGGAGTGGAAAGAGAGTTAGGGGAGCTCAGTGAGGTGAGGAGGAGATTGGAAAAGAAATGCCTTAGCCTCCCCTTTGCTTGCTCTCCAGTCTCCTACTCCCTCTCCCACTGGTGAACCCTGCCCGAAGCCAGCCAGCACAGGAGCCCCCAGTTTTCAGGGGACAGCTTCTGGGAGACACCCATGGTTCTAGAGGCGCAAGCAAATAGCAAGATAGCGCCTGAGAAATGGCTCTGAAGCAGAAATGCCTGCAACCAAATCCTGATTCTGTTGTGTGCCAGCTGTGTGACTTCAAGGCAAGCTGCTGGAGCTCTCTGTGTCTCAGTTTCCTCCTATAAGAAAGAATACTGAGCAACTTAATTGAGATCATGTATGTGGTGCCTGGCCCTGAGTGAGCACTCCATAAATCTGAGCTATAATTATTATAAACTGCCATTAAAAACCACCCAGGCCAAACAGGACACCTCTCTCTTTCTCTGGCTCCTCGAGTCTCTGTAGACCCGATGACTCCAGCTTGCCTCCAGCCTAGAGACCAGTCTCAGAATTCTCTGGCCTTCACCCCTGTCCCTCGGATGTCATCTTTCTCATAGGCACCACACTGCTCTTGGTTGTTGAAGGTTCCTCCGACCTAAGTGCCAAAAAGCAGGTCTCAGTCCTCCCTCCCCCAGATGAGGAAATGAAAGGGCCAGCGAAGCCAGCAGGGACTGTGCACAAAGTGTTTTCAGTGTCAGCCTCGCCATCACAGTATTCAGGGCCCAGCACAGACTTAGAAATCAGGTTGCCGGTTAGCAGAGCTTCGGAGAGGTA